GGGGGGGGGGGGGGGGGGGAAAGCAAGTGAGTGTTGACCACAGCCCAACCTGGATTTGTTGGTATCAGTTTTGTTTTGGCTCTGGGATTACTGGGCAGCAAGAGTTTTTGCTATTTTCTTTGTAGTGCAGCTCCTGGGTTTGGAACCTGGGCCTGTAGGAATGTAGGCTGGTAATCTTCAGTTGGTGGGTCAGAGGTAGCAGGGCAGTACAGGCATGGGGCTTTGGCTTGGCCCATCAGCCCTACAGTCCAACTTGTTCGGACTTTTGGTGAAGTCAAGCACAAGGGGAAGTGTTTTTCTCGTCGGCAGGTGATGGTGAGATAAGAGCACAGCCATAGTTGCTTGTTGCTGTCAAGATAGTTTATCATTTTGATCCCCATTTCTTGTACAGTTTGGTCTGGCCTTTCTGGCGCCCAATTGGACATTATTTTCAGCAGGTACTCACCGGACTGTGTATTCTGAGAAACGAGATTTTAGGTGTTCACTGTTCTATCAACCCACCAACAGGCCTCGCCCAGTTGGTGCACCCATGACTGTTGAAATACAGATCCAAGTTCGAATCCAGACACTGTGACAATGAGATGCCAGAATAATATATTTCTGAATTACCCAGGGCCAGTTAGTTCAATGTGGACATCTCAAGGCCATCGCCCTTGTTCTATCAACTTAGTAATAGTTAGTATACAGTGTGTTCAATTCCCTACTTGATGCCTCAAAATGTGTATGAATGTCAAATTGATGAATGTGAAAGTGATGGAATCCTGCACGACCCTCACAGAAGTATCAGAGATGGTCGCGATCATATAAAGTTTACAGCATCACACGTCATCGACACATTGCCATGGCACAACAGCACCACATCAGCCATGTGTCAGTGTCATGTCAGCTCAGCATCATTGCTTTGGGTACCATCTGGAAGGGTTTTCAACAGTTCTTTATGCCATGCGCAGAGAAGTGAAAAGGGAGGTATCAAGAGACATTTGTGTCATTGTGTGACTTAAATGAAGTTAAATGATTAAATCCCTATGGAGAGAGGGGGAGAAAAATATCTGCAATGACCCGCGCAGAATCAGTCCGAGAATTTCTGCAGTTTTTCGAGTATTGCTGCTTGTTGGTTTGATTTATTGAGATTTCCGTTTTCTGAGTGTGAATGTTGTTTGCCTGCGTGTGTCCAAGTCCCTCTGTGATGCTTGCCATGTCATGAGGGAACTCTGTTCTTTATCTCGTGAGGGGTAGATCAGGAACAGGTAAAAGTACAGGGGTAGGACTGAAACTGGGCATCGGATGGACTTCACAAATGCCAGGACGGACAAGGACAGAAGTGGAATTTGGCAAGTACCAGGGAGAGGTTTTCTAGCAGCTCGGGTAGGGCCAAGCGAGTCTGGTAGGCTTAGAAAGGTCTGCTAGCTTCCGGAAGAGGTCATGAGTAGTCACGGCCCGTACTAAAATAGCTCTCAATGATGTTCCCGCCAAAAGGCAGGTACTTTCCGTAGGTTTAGTGCCCCTGTAGAGGCAGTAGTACCTGGCCAGGGAAGAGTTGGAGGGCGGGAGGCAAGAATATATGATTCGGTGCAATTACTAAGCTCAGCCTGGCAGATTTGCCTGGCGGTCATGCTTCTACTCCGTACAGAGGGTGAGTTAGGCGGCACTCTGGTGGAAGCAGTGGATCTGGAGGGTGGAGAAGAAGACCTGCATGACTATGGAGAATTAGAGTAGAAGGGTGTGGGCCTAGGCTATGGAGGACTATGGAGGATTAGAGTAGAAGGATGTGGGCCCTAGGCTATGGAGGAAGAAGGAGAATCACCTCATACTAGGCTATAGAGAAGGGTAGAGGAAGAGAGTAGAGGATGAGGGAGAGGAAGAAGGACGAATCTGACATAGAGACTTATGTTTTGCTTGGTTGCCGTCGCATCTAGAAGGCCCCTGTGGGTGCACAGCTGGTCTTGGACTTCATCCGCAAGTATGGCTATGGCAGCATGAGTCAAGAGAGGCACATCAGTAGTTTCGTTATCCATTCGACATCCGCTAGGGTCTGGGATGTTCTGCCGAAATAAATCGTGTCTGTCTCGTTGCAGGGATGTTCTGCCATAGCTGGATTGGAACCAATCAGGGGGAGAGAGAAGAGTAAGGCTGAAAAGGAGGCTCTTTGAGTGGTGACGGACCTGACGGTACGGGGGATTTCTCAGACATGATTCCTGTTCATTCGATCATTTATCTCTATCCTATCCTCCTCAAGCGAAAAGCGGTTCTTGTGTCACGCTTTTTGCGGGCCCGACAAAAACCGCCTGGAGGGCGGAACCCAGTGGGCCGCACGGCGTCTAAGGAGGACTGCGATCTCCAAGCACCGAATACCCTCGCGTTCAAATACAAGAACATAGAAGTGGTACGTCTGTTTTCGTTTTGCATTTTTTTCCTATTTTGTTGTCGTTTTGTGGCTTCCAGCGTGTCTGGAGTCTTTTTTTCGGGTTGTGACTTCTTTGGGTCTTGCATCGGACCGCTGCTGCGAATGGTTTTTGGCTCTTGTGTCGGACCACCGCTGCAAATTTTCTTTTTGGGGGGGTGCTTCGCCAGACGCGATTCTTCCCCCCGCTCCCAAGAGGAGAGTGTGAAAGGGCACGGGATTTTGGGAAACAGTTCGTGATTCCTGTGCGTAAGCATGCAAAAGCAGGCATCGATTGCTTCGAGGAGGAGGAGGAGGAGAACTACGAACAACATGGAGGTGGAGGAGGAGGAGAAGGACAACTACGACGAGGATGGGACAGGGAGGTTGCAATGGCGGACAGAGGAGGAGCAGTGGTAGGACGAGGAGGAAGGCGGAAGAGGATGGGCGAGCAGGGAGCTCTGATGCAAGAGGAGGAACAGAAGGCCACAGTCGTGAAGGAGGATGATGGAGGAACACGAGGAAGAGGAAGACGCTGCGATGGAGGAGGGATAAAGAGGAGGCGGCGACTATGATGGGGGAGGGAGAGGAAGCTACAATGTAGAGGAGGGGGAGCACGAGGAGGAGTAGGTACGAGGGAGAACGAACGCAAAAAGACCGCCAATACATTTCCCGGGTGCTAGTTTTTTTTCTTTGATTTTTGAAAATCCGATCGGTCCAATGCAGTCGTAACACACGTGCCCGTTGTGTTTGAGGGAAGACGTTAGGGGGATGGAGGAGCAGGGGCCCATCGAGGACAATGAAGAGGAGATGACAGCTACGATGGGGGAGAGAGAGGGACTATGATGTCGAGAAGGGGGAGCACAACGAGGTCGGAGGAGGAGATAGGTATGAGGGAGTACGGACCCAAAAAGGCCGCAGATACATCTCTGATGCTTTCTTTTTTCTTTTCGTCAAATTCGAAATGCAAGAGGGACGGTGGGGATCCGTAAGAATGTACGATTGGGAATAGAATCGGCCTGAGGGTTGACATGGGACGCGATGAGAGAGAGAGAGAGAGAGAGAGAGAGAGAGAGAGAGAGAGAGAGAGAGAGAGAGAGAGAGGGAGGGAGGGAGGGAGGATCACTGTACTTGCTCTCTGCTTCGTTAGACCTGGCAAGAGACGAGGGGCAGGAAGAAGTGTGCCGCAGGCGTAGCCTGCAGTGGGCCGGCTTGTGTTGTAATTAATAATTGACTATTTGAAGAGGTGGAGGAAGAGAGAAGAAGATGAAGAGGAGAGAAGAGAGGGATGGCATTGGTTCAAACTTGTGTAATCCGTCTTCGTCTTCTATCTTCCATCATAATGATTCTGTTCTGCTCTTTGTCTCTTTTCACTTTTCTTTGAGTTCAGCAAGTCTTGTGTTGCCTCCAAGTGGAGTTCTGCATCATGAATGACGTAGGATTATAAGATATAAAAGGCTGAAGACTCAGACTGGTTGGCAGAATGGACAGGCAGAGAGGAACAGAAAGAGAAGATGGCAGAGGAAGAGAGGTCAACACAGGAGAAGCTGGCGGCAAATATCAACGAGGTGAATACGCAAGTCAAGGCAATACAGAACGTTGGAATGGGGAAGAAGGATGTTTCTGACTCAGAACAGGCTCTGAAATGAAATAGCCTTTCAACACCTCAGTATGCTAATCTGTAGGTGCTGGCTTTCCTGGAGTCAGCAGGGCAAGACAATATCATTGCACTCAAATGTTTTAATGAGCAAGGATCGTCGCAGAGGAGAGTGATCTTGCGAGTGCACTGAACAAGTCTTCCTCATGTCATCGATAAGCCTGTCGATGCTCACATACTCCGTCCCATGGACCCGAAATAAATACTGAGGTAGAGGCCAAGCTCCCTCCTGTACCACCCACATCCTAACATAGAGCAGCCACAACTGCTTAAGGTGAGAGGGCTGAAGATGTGAACTGGAGACTGCATGAGATTTATGGCCATCTGACCTATTACAGGGTCGCATTCTGCTTCCTTGCCACCGCTGGTGAAGAGTGGGTTGATTCTGAAGTGTTGCACGCGGCGAACGGAGATGTAATGGAAATATGGAAGAAGATCAGCTGAACCACAGTGACTACACAACTGTGACCTCGGCAGGATAAAGCAGTCGGTATACTGTTTGAATTGGGAGTGAAGCTTATAGAGCAAATGTAAATTGTTTGGTCCGGAGATTGTGCAGATCTTGGAGCTTCCTATTTTGTGGTGTTCCCCTCAGAAAACCCCCATTTAGTTAAAAACTGTTTTTTTTTGGCAGAAACTCAGTTCAAATCCGCGCGAGTCAAGGGAAGGTTCGTCGTAACAAAAGGTCAGAAAGAGTGGTCAAAAAAAAGTCGCGTCCTGAATCCCTTAAGAGGTCTTGAGAGAGTTCTAGGGTCAAAGGGTATAGGACCTGTCAGTGAGTCAAAAGCTGTGTCCAGTATCCCCAGGCCAGGTAGTCGACTCTCGGAAAATCAAGAGTCAGACCCAGCACGGGGAATGCAGGCCCAAAGTCAAAATCTCATAGTAGTCAATCACGGCCGAAGATCAGATGCACATCAAAGTTGTCTACAGGTGTCCAGAAGATTCCAGTTCCAACAGGGACACGACACATCTGGGACGGCCGTCGACACGGTCCAACAGGAGGCTGATCAACGCCAGCGAACGCTATAAGAAGAAGACCTGGCCGAGGGGAGGCTGATTCTTCCCTGCACGCGCTCGCTGCCAAGTTTTGTGAGGCTGGGAAAGCAAAGTGCTGGTGCCAGATGCTGCTGGAGGGCGCCCGCCTTGTTGGAGGACATGCTGGAGTGGTCATAGCCGCCATAGCCATAGCTGTAGGTGATAACGTTGGGCGAGGAGGAGGAGGATCAGCCTATGAGACATGAGAGGTTTGAGTGGAAGCGTACTTGGACTTACCTGGTGCCTATGTGATTGATAGGCTGCGGGTCTCCACGAAGTTCAGGACGGACAGCGCCATCCTCCATAACTTGACTTGGACTGTGGAAGGAGGATGGGGGCTCTGTTGAGAGTTGTAGTTACTATATCAGTGATCAACAGAAGGAGAGCATGCGTTGCTGAGGTGGAGATAGGGGAGAAGCCCAAAGAGGAAGTGGGAATTGAAGAGCGGCATACATCTATTCTTGATTATTAATGAAATTAGTCTCCTCCTCCTCTATGTCACTCCCCTCCTCTATCTCTTTCTTCCATATTCTTCTGTAATGGTTCCCTACTGAAGAAATGTGCATTCAATCGAGATATGGACTTGCAATCATCTTTGGAGCGTTGGGTTCAGACTTGTGTGACATTTTTGATTGGCTTCTCTACGGATTTGGGCTCATTGCGTTTCTTTTTAAATTGCATGAAAATCGACTGTCGAAAAGTTTCCAGTTTTTGTGTTCTTTTTCGAACCCATACTCCTACACACCTGGAAGGAACATCATTGAATGAACATCATTTCTTGTCATACGGTCATCAAATGCGCAGAAAGCAGTACAAATCAGGCCTTACGCCGCCAGTACACGGCCCCAGCCTTGTAGAAAAGAAAACTCGTCGCCTACCTAAATTTCAGAGGCCCAGTGCCGTAGATTAATTGAATTGGCGGCGGGCGGCCTCCGAAAGGGCCCGTGGCCGATAACTGAATGTACTGGTGGTTTAAGAGTGATATTTACCCGGCACAACCATAAAGAATACTCTAAGGTGTGATTTAATACTACTTTGTGCATGTTTTATGATCTATTGATAAAGGAATGTCATTCGTGAGAGACAGTATTCCTTATATGTGTGTAGTAGTATGGGTTTGAAAGATACACAAAAAGACACAGAAATTTTAAGAATTCAGTTTCGTGCAATTAGAAAAACGAAAAAGTGATTTTTAGCTAAACAGGGGTTAGAAGCACCCTCCTAGCGAGGCTGGCAGGCCGTTCGGGTTCTGGGCAAGAGGAGTTCGAAACATTACTTTCAGATAACAAAAGGAGCACTAAACTTGATTTAGTGTTATCATATCCTGTGAGGCCACAAGCGACCAAACAACGCGGACATGGATTGTCCCTCTGAAAAGAGGATCCTGGGAGCACCCTCCCAACAAGGATGGCAAGCCATTTAGGGCCCGCACAACAGGACTTGCAAACATTAGTGGGAGACACCAGGAGAGGCATTGAACTTGATCATGTGTTGTCATATGTTGCAAGGTTGCAGGCGATCGAACGGCATGACGATGGATTGTCGAGAATCTGTAAGCAAAAGACATATTGCAGTAGTACAATGGACTGTCTGTTTTGACTCGGTTCCTTCCAAAAACGTTTTTCCTTGTTTTCTTGAGAGTTTGTTCAGATATGCAAGACGGAAGGATCACAAGAAGCGTAACCAGTGGAGAAAGAGAACAAGTCAGGGAAGAGGGGCCAAGTTAAGATACATTTGGAGAAAATGTCTCAAAAAAGTTGTTGAAGAAGTGACCGAACAAGTAACGTTCTCCCTTGGAAAAGCACCAGAAGGCCAGACCGGACCTTTGTCTCACTCTAAATAGTTAAAACATATGAGAAAGAGATTATGATGTGGCAGCAATAGAACAAAAAGATGATACTCCGGAGGAAGCGGAAAGCAACACCGTACAGCTAGAAAAAAACTAAGAAGAGAAAAAACAGGGGAAGAAAAAGCTACTTGAAGAGATAGTTTAGTAGGTTAGAACAGCGGAATCATAATCCGCATGTCGGGGGTTCGAATCCCTCTACACGCAGCCAGGCACGATTTCAAAGGCGCGAAGCATTGCAAAAAGGTCAAAGCACCCTACCAGCACGAGTACTCACCCAATTTAATTTCAATTGAGGATCTAGTTACTTCCTAAGGCAAGCAGCACTCATAAGTCCAATACCATTGACGTACAATCACTTTGATAGTAATTGCAGGATCTACTACCTCATCGCGCGTGTACGTCTCTAATCTAATCAAATAAGATTAGAATGGAATGTCGGTCGACCGTATATTTGAACACAGAACACCTAGGTTGGATTCGAACCAAACGCGCATTTTATTTATCTCAGTTTTATTTCATTACGTAATTGCGGATAACTGGAATCTACTGTTGTCAGTTGAAGGTAAGCCATATGGCCTTAGTGTGAAGTTTGATTGCACACTTTGATAACTAAAGGTGACATTACGGCCGCCCTCAAAACCACATTCGTAAGCTAACAGTTTTTCCGGATATGTTAGGCTGGATGAAGAAGCAATAACTCCCGACCCCTATCTATGATAAGTATTGGAGTTCTATTATTTATTGTGTGGGCTCAAGATGGGTCCCTCTCATATATGTTTGATGATTGATTTTCAAGAGTTTCTATGGAATCAACTACCACGATCATCTTTGAGGCTTTTTTTTTTTTTTTTTTTTTTTTTTTTTTTTTTTTTTTTTTTTTTTTGTTTTTTTTTTTTTTTTTTTTTTTTTTTTTTTTTTTTTTTGCAATTTTTTTAACTACGGTATTCAAAATTTTTGGATTCATTTTTAAGATTTGGAGGTTTTCTGCAAAACATCGAAATTTGGGGAGCTTCTCACAGGCAGTCTTTTTTTTTTATAATTTCCAGTTTATTTTGCATGTTTAAAAATTAAAAATCTGCCTTTTTATATTTAAATTACATATTAAGGTGCCCAGAGTCTGACAACTGTCCAGTGTTGGAAGGTGAAAAGGAGAAGTGACATAAGCTTCGAATGGAAGCCCCTGTAAACGGCGGCAGTAACTTTGCGGCCCTTCGGCCTTTTGCACTTCGGGAAGCACGCGAATGCACGTTGGCCCTCAGCCGTCTGCCTGTTTTTTG